GGGCCAAACTAACCAATCTGAGCCCACTGCCGGTTTCTGAGGGAGTGGTTTCATAGACTCAGGAAGTCAACCGGTTGTTCAGGGGACAGAGGAGAGCGCGGCTTAGAAAAAAGGTGAAGTTTATGAAAAATAAAACTTTAAAAAAAAGAAAAAACACAAATACATGTTATATTGCACCCCATAAACACAATCATACAAAGAAAAAAAGCAGTACACCCCCCCCCCCCTTTTAACAATAACACAAATGTCAGCCAGGGCGGGATGATGTCAGCTGTGGAGGACACACTGCATAAACACACACACAAAACACCGTTACTGACATGACTAAGAACACACACACACTTACACAACACTGTTACTGACACGACTGAGAACACACACTTTTACTGAAATGACCGAGAACACACACACATACACAACATCGTTACTGACATGACTGAGAACACACACAACACTGTTATTTACGCGACTGAGAACACACACACTCACACAACACCGTTACTGACACAACTGAGAACACACACAACACAGTGACTGAGAACACACACACAACACCGTTACTGACACAACTGAGAACACACACACACACAACACCGTTACTGACACAACTGAGAACACACACACACACACACACAACACCGTTACTGACACAACTGAGAACACACACAACACCGTTACTGACACAACTGAGAACACACACACACACAACACCGTTACTGACACAACTGAGAACACACACACACACACACACACACACAACACCGTTACTGACACAACTGAGAACACACACACAACACCGTTACTGACACGCCTGAGAACACGCACACACTTACACAACACTGTTACTAACACGACTGAGAACACACACTTTTACTGAAAAGACCGAGAACACATACACAACATCGTTACTGACACGACTGAGAACACACACACACAACACCTTTATTTACGCGACTGAGAACACACACACTCACACAACACCGTTAATGACACAACTGAGAACACACACACAACACCGTTACTGACACAACTGAGAACACACACACAACACTGTTACTGACACAACTGAGAACACACAGACAACACCGTTACTGACACGCCTGAGAACACGCACACACTTACACAACACCGTTACTGACACAACTGAGAACACACACACACAACATAATTTCTGACACGACTGAGAACACACACACAACACCGTTACTGACACGCCTGAGAACACGCACACATTTACACAACACTGTTACTGACACGACTGAGAACACACACTTTTACTGAAATGACCGAGAACACACACACATACACAACATCGTTACTGACATGACTGAGAACACACACAACACTGTTATTTACGCGACTGAAAACACACACACACTCACACAACACCGTTACTGACACAACTGAGAACACACACACAACACAGTGACTGAGAACACACACACAACACCGTTACTGACACAACTGAGAACACACACACACACACACACAACACCGTTACTGACACAACTGAGAACACACACACAACACCGTTACTGACACGCCTGAGAACACGCACACACTTACACAACACTGTTACTAACACGACTGAGAACACACACTTTTACTGAAAAGACCGAGAACACACACACATACACAACATCGTTACTGACACGACTGAGAACACACACACACAACACCGTTATTTACGTGACTGAGAACACACACACTCACACAACACCGTTAATGACACAACTGAGAACACACACACAACACCGTTACTGACACAACTGAGAACACACACACAACACTGTTACTGACACAACTGAGAACACACAGACAACACCGTTACTGACACGCCTGAGAACACGCACACACTTACACAACACCGTTACTGACACAACTGAGAACACACACACACACAACATAATTTCTGACACAACTGAGAACACACACACACAACATAAGTTCTGACACGACTGAGAACACACACACAACACCGTTACTGACACGCCTGAGAACACGCACACATTTACACAACACTGTTACTGACACGACTGAGAACACACACTTTTACTGAAAGGACCGAGAACACACACACATACACAACATCGTTACTGACACAACTGAGAACACACACAACACCGTTACTGTCACAACTGAGAACACACACACACACAACACAGTGACTGAGAACACACACACACACAACACCGTTACTGACACAACTGAGAACACACACACACAACACTGTTACTGACACAACTGAGAACACACACACACACACACACACACACACACACACACACAACACCGTTACTGACACAACTGAGAACACACACACACAACACCGTTACTGACACGCCTGAGAACACGCACACACTTACACAACACTGTTAGTAACACGACTGAGAACACACACTTTTACTGAAAAGACCGAGAACACACACACATACACAACATCGTTACTGACACGACTGAGAACACACACACACAACACCGTTATTTACGCGACTGAGAACACACACACTCACACAACACCGTTAATGACACAACTGAGAACACACACACAACACCGTTACTGACACAACTGAGAACACACACACACACACACACACACACACACACACACACACACACACACACAACACTGTTACTGACACAACTGAGAACACACAGACAACACCGTTACTGACACGCCTGAGAACACGCACACACTTACACAACACCGTTACTGACACAACTGAGAACACACACACACACAACACCATTTCTGACACGACTGAGAACACACACAACACCGTTACTGACACGCCTGAGAACACGCACACATTTACACAACACTGTTACTGACACGACTGAGAACACACACTTTTACTGAAATGACCGAGAATACACACATATACACAACACCGTTACTGACACGACTGAGAACACACACAACACCGTTACTGTCACAACTGAGAACACACACACACAACACAGTGACTGAGAACACACACACACACACACACACACACACAACACCGTTACTGACACAACTGAGAACACACACACACACACAACACCGTTACTGACACAACTGAGAACACACACACACACACACACACACACACAACACCGTTACTGACATGACTGTGAACACACACTCACACAACACTGTTACTGACACGACTGAAAACACACACACACACACAACACCATTACTGACACAACTGAGAACACACACACACACACACACACTGAGCTGCGTTCAGGCACAATGAGACTCCTGATGTTATTCAGAGCCCACCTGCCATTATGGAGGAAAACCCCGGCACCGACACCCGACTGAGGACTAGAATAGAGAGTGTGTGTGTGTGTGTGTGTGTGTGCACGCCTGAACCCCCGCAGCAGGAACAGATTAAACTGACAAACACTCATTCTGAACAATAGCTCCGAGGATATCCTCCTTTTAACACGGGGGCTTCAGGGGGACACTGGGATAACACAGGCACACTCACACACACACTATTCTTCAGCATAACACACTCTTTCTCTCAAACACACTCACACACTAATCTTCAGAGTAATACACACTTTCTAACACACACACTGATCTTCAGCGTAACACACACACTTTCTCACACACACACACTGATCTTCAGCGTAACATGCACTTTCTCACACACACTCACACACACACTGATCTTCAGCGTAACACACACACACACACACTCATCTTCAGTGTAACACACACATACACAGATCTTAAGCGTAAACACTCAGTATGACCTCAGTATGGATTGAGTGTGTGGAAGAGTGCAGCACAACACACACTATAATGCTTCAAACTGTAGTCACACATGACCTCTCACACGCTCACATGACCTCATTAATGGTTTAATCGAGTGAGTGGCGTCTCTTATCGACATCGCCTGCTCTTCATCATGTGACCTCGCTCTTTACTCTCCTCCAATCACAGCGCCTCTCTCTCCTGGTGCAAAAAGGGAGCTGTTTTCTCCCAGGTCCTGTACCCGTAAGTGTGTGTGTCTCTCTTAGGTCCTGTACCTGTGAGTGTGTGTGTGTGTGTGTGTCTCTCACAGGTCCTGTACCTGTGTGTGTGTGTGAGTGAGTGACGCTCCTAGAATCTTGGAGTTGTCCATGGGATTCGATGACATCACTGTTTGACTGTTGTTGTGATGTTATGGAGGATTTCTCCGGAAAGAGTGTGTTTCCTCCATTTACTCACTGGAAGTTTTAGCCAAAAATCCGCTCAGGGAAGATTTACTCATAGATTTGAGTGAGTGTGTGTGTGTAAGTGTGAGTTGCTCTTAGTTTGATCCCATGTGTTCTGGGATGAGTGTCTGTGTGTTTGTGAGTGTATGATCTCACTGAACACACAGGTTTGCATGAGGGCTATTTTCCATGATCTTGGCCACTGGGATCATGGCTCCACCAGATCTGCAGTAACAGCCTTCAATTAGAGTTCAGTTCGTTAGTTTGCCAGAATATGTTGATCGATTACTTTTTTTTTGTACACAATTGACAAAGAAAATTTGATTACTTTTTTTAACACAATTGACAAAGAAAATATAGGCATATCAGAAAGGAAAAATCACACTCCATTTTAAACATATATATTTGATATATGAGATGGTTTGTGTGTGTTTTATTCAAATTACTATCCTTAGACCTCAAGCCACTCAACATATGCACATCCATATGCCGAACGAGAGGAGTTTTCTGCATATGAAAACAATAAATCAGTCAGATATTAGTAAATGAGACTCCATGTCCTGGTTTCGGTCTTTGTATCATTACTGGTTTTCCAGTGATTGTTCTCTTGTCTCATCCGTTCTCGTGTGTGTGTGTGTGTGTTTTGGTCAATGTTCACAGCGTGTCAAACCCTTACGGGTGTGGTGTTATCACAGGAGTTCTGACACGACATGATCATGTGATCTCTCCTGACCGCATCGTCCTATCCATCCGATCTTGCATTGTTCTGCTTCAAGATCAGATGATGGGATGGTGAACTTCAGCCCTGAGAGCGTTTAGACATCAGGGCTTCTGCCGCCAGACTGTGTGTTATTGTAACCCAGATTCAGGCTGTAGATGGGCCCCTCGGGGGAGGAGCCTGTAGGGGGCGTGGTCAGAGGGATGACATCACTAGGGCATATGGAGCCTGTAGGCGGTGGAGCCAGTAGGGGGCGGGGTAAGAGAAGATGACATCACTGGAGCAGATGGTCACTCAGACTGTGGAGTGAATGAGACGAGAAGCTGGGATTGAGTTCATATGACTTCAGTTTATCAGAGGTATTTATCTGTGTGAGTGAGTGAGTGAGCGAGTGTCTGTGCGCTTTGCCGTGCATGTGTGTGTGTGTGTGTGTGTGTGTGTTTTGAACTGTCTTTGTCTTTCTCTGGACTTTTGTTATAAAAGAGCTCAGGATGTATAAAGCTGGTCTCTCTCTCTCATTCTCTCAAACACACACACACACACACCCCAGTCAGGTTTTTATCACTCATCAGGCTGCAGAGTTCAGAGGTCAAGGCTTTTCAGAAGGTCATGTGATCTGAGCATTTGGTTTCAATTTCTCATTTCTGTGTTTTGGAGACACAGAGGCCTTATGTTTATACCAGCATGGAGCCGTTGTGTGTCTGTGTGTGTGTGTGTGTGTGTGTGTGTGTGTATAAAGGACTGTTTACACCAAGGGCAATAACTATAACGATATTGTAAAATCGTTATAAATGTAAAACTATAGTGAAGTACTCAACACAACTATAATGGTCAACATCATTGGAATCACTTTCAGAGTGGTTTAAAAACATCGACAGCCAATCAGAATGCTTCCTGCTTTAAACAGCATTTCAATTAACATTGAAACTGCAGCGCATAATAAACAGAACGATATCATCTGCTGATGTGGATGAGCAGTTATTATTATAGGAACTGTTCTTGGAGTGAGTTGGGCACATATGAGCATTATCAAGTTATTCACCTTTATTCTAATTCTTCTCATAACTGTTGTAAATCAGTTGTATAGAAACTAAGCTCTTGACTAACTGCTCATGACGGCCTTGGGAAACTCATTAGTGAGTCTCCTTCCTTTATACAGCGCTTTAGCAGCTTTACAGAGATAACAGGACAATACTGCAACAGAATTTGTTTCAAGAAGAGAATAGCGTCGTGATGCTTCAATTTCTGCTGTAAAAAAGTTATTAATTTAGTTCATTTATATATATATATATATATATATATATAGAGGCTCTGGAGAAAACTCTGATGCCACCGTCCAGCTCAGTTCAGTTCTTATGTAATGCTGTCAGTGCAGGAGATCAATAATATTGTTGAATATTACATTAAATGTCCCCAAATAAGCAACAGGAACTGAAACTCAGACTCAGTTCTCTTCTGGCCAACAGTGTGTGATTGTAATTATGATTCAGGCATTACAGGTCAGAGGTCAGATTGGATCAGAGCATCCAGAATATGATCCAGTTAACGTCTGGCTGTAGATCAGAGTCGCATCGGAATGGAGACGTCACTGTGAGTCAGACGCGTGTTATTTCTGCAGTTTAAAGTTGTGCTGATGATGAACACAACAGATATCAGAAAACTGGCTCACTCTTCATCATGAGTGTGTGAGTGAGTTAGTGTCTGTGTCTGATTTGGGGAAAATGTCATATTGCAATTATTGAGGTCAATATTGCGATATGCGATTGTGATAAAATAAACAAATGGTTTCATGAGTGAACTTGCTTGGTGCTAAAGCAAAATGCACACACAGATTAGTGATAATCATGCATTCGCACAAATAAGAGTGGGATCATGGAGCACTAGCCAGAGGATGACAAAAAATAACAGATGCTGCGTTAATTGCATTAACTGCATATTATTTGTTCATTTCATATAAAATCGCTGCATTTTGTTTTATATCATCACATAGGCTTGACATCGCGATTGCGATATGATTAATCGTGCAGCACTAGTGTGCCGTTGTGTTGCTTTCGGGACTCGTGGTTGGGTGTGTGTGTGTGGCATTGTGTTGCTGTCTGGGCTCTTTGTTGAGTGTGTGTGTGGCGTTGTGTTGCTGTCGGGACTCGTGGATGAGTGTGTGTGTGTGTGTGTTTGTGGCGCTGTGTTGCTGTCGGGGCTCGTGGTTGAGTGTGTGTGTGGCGTTGTGTTGCTGTCGGGGCTCATGGTTGAGTGTGTGTGTGGCGTTGTGTTGCTGTCGGGACTCATGGTTGAGTGTGTGTGTGTGTGTGTGTGTGTTGGCTTGTGTTGCTGTCGGGACTCATGGTTGAGTGTGTGTGTGTGTGTGTGTGGGCATTGTGTTTCTGTCGGGACTCGTGGTTGAGTGAGTGTGTGTGTGTGGCATTGTGTTGCTGTTGGGCCTCGTGGTTGAGTGAGTGTGTTTGTGTGTGTGGGGCGTTGTGTTGCTGTCGGGACTCATGGCTGTTCGTTCGGGCTGGTTAACCCATGTCATCATTTACATGTATTTGTGGTTGTTGAGTTTAGTCATTCAGACTCTCAGAAGAACACAAACAGGATGACGATCACAGCACCCGTCAGCGTCAGTGTGTCACACCGATCTCCTGTTTCTCGGTCTCTGAACACTCAGAACGCTGGTTTTCTATGCGTGATGGTCAAAAATGACAGAATTTGTTGTTGTTTTTTTTGTCAATGAAATGAATGTACAGTATTTTAGTTTGATAATGTTTATTTAATATTTGAATATTTGAATAATAAATGTTTATTTAATATTTATATTTTTAACGGAATTTATTTATACTAAATTATATTCCAGCTGTATTTATAATCCACTTATTCACTTTTGAGCATTGACCTGAAAATGTCATTTTCAGCTTAAACTGTGGTAAATCTTGAACTCTTTAGAGCGACAGACTGAAGTTTGATCTCTTCTAAAAGAGGACACTCAGCACTCTGCAGATTATTGCTGAAGTGAACTTAAAGTCAGCATGAAATCAAATTTGACAAATCTTCTTTTTATATGTAATATTGTAGTGTTTATTTTGAATGATTTATCGGTGCACTTCATTATTTTTTAAATTCATGTACCCTTATAATCTTTAATCAAATACATTACCCTTCCCTCCCCCATCGAAACGACATCTCTTCTCTTTCGGTCACGTGGAATGCCAAAAGGGTGTGGCCAGATCCGATGAGGGTGCAGCTGTCGGTGAACCGCCTCTCAGAGAAAAGCATTCAAATTGTTTGCAACGCCCAAAACTCCAACGATCCAATCAATTCCCGAAGGACGAAATCAAGCCCTGCCCTACATTTTTTCTAATTTCAGAAGCCGTTTCACTCGGATATACATCACAACAAGGAAAAAATGACAATCTCAACTTCCGTTTCACGCCGACTTTGAAGTGAGATGTTGTTCGGCTGCAGTTCCAAACGCTTCCACTCTGCGCTCGTTTCTGATCTTGAGAAACATAAGTGTGAATATCGTTTTCAGGACCATTTAACTTGTTCAATCATGGCCATGATTTTTTTGTGGGTTCACACAACAAGTGCCAAAACCTTTACCAAGATTCGAATGAAGTTAACAAAATTCACGAAAAAAAACAAAGCATAATATCTTTCCGTACGAATAACACAATTTAAACATGTTTGTAACTGCTATGTTTGTTTCCTCTCTTCTTGCAGTTGTTTGTGAGACGATGCACAAACCCCCGCACTAAGATGTAGAGTCCACACTAGGAGGAGTAAGAAGAAGAAGAAGAGACTGAACGAGGAAGAAACTCCGACAAACACAAAGAAAACTTGCCGTTTCACCTTTCCGAAACCCCACAGTACCCTTTGACCTCATCCGCCACTGCACCATGTGTCACGTGATCGTGACGTGCCGCTCGATGCTATGGACGCTGCTTAGCATCGTCGCGGCGTTCAGCGAGCTCATCGCGTTCATGAGCACCGATTGGCTGGTGGGGTTCCCGCGCACGCCGGACGCTGTGTTCTCAGGTGTTCACGGTGTTCAAGGGTCGACGGGCGAGGCTTATCGGCCCACACTGGGTATCTACGGGCGCTGTCTACGCCTGCCTCACCTGCGCCGCGGTGTTCTGTGCGGCCCGTACGCTGTTAGCTTCTCAGAGATCGCCAGCGGGTTCTGGAAGGCAACCTCCATCTTCCTAGCGGCGGGAATCCTGATGCTGTGCGCCGTGGCCTTCATATCCGTCTTCACCATGTGCTTCCAGAGCATCATGAAGAAGAGCATCTTTAATGTGTGCGGACTCCTGCAGGCCATCGCCGGTGAGACACACACACACACACACACAAACACAGTATTTCACACCGGTAAAGGAACGGTAACTACATCAGCGTCCACAACAGCGCACGATTAGCTTCTGTTCATTCTAAGCTTGTGCTCCAGTGTTGTCGTCTTCCACTGTGGACACTTAAAGTGATAGTTCACCCAAAATTGTTGATTTCCTAGGTGTATATAACATCCTTCTTTCAGAAAAAAAAACTATTACTAAACTATCTATTCATCATAAAAGTGAATCTATCCATGATAAAAGTTCCACATTAATGTAACAGCCTCTGCTATAACATTGTCTGTTCATAAAATTGGTTTTGAAGAAAAATATTGTTCAGGAACTGTAATCGAAGTCATGTATCGATATTGATAATTTTTTAACAATACCCAACGCTTGCTATGTGGTTGCTAGGGTAGTCTGTTGGTTGCTAGGGTGTTGTTAAGCAGTTGATTGGGTGCTCTTGAATAGTTGAGTGTAGGACATTTACGGTGTGTGTGTGGGGGGAACAGGTCACATGGGATGATGAGGTCACTTCATCTGTTTTCCAGACGATTCTGCTGATGTGGGTCAGTCTGACCTCTGACCCTGAGCAGAGTGAGGGCTGATGGGTAATTCAGCATGATGACTTCATGTAGCTGATGCTGGGTGTAGAGCAAATCTGAAAAGATTGTTTTAATTCTTGAACAGTTCCTAAGAGGTTCTCAAACCTTTCCTCAGAAACATGATATTTGACGGACTTCGGGAGTGTGTGTGAGTTTTCTGAGGTCTTGTGTTTTAGTGCTTCCTGCAGATCTTGTAATAATCATAATTAATCTTAAAGAGCACCTATCATGGATTTTTGAAAATGACTGTTCATGTAGTGTGGAATATAGCTCTAAGGGAATGAAAACATCCTGCAAAGATTTATATCTGAAAGTGCACCGTATATAAAGTTATTGTCTTTCAAAAGTGAGAGTCGACTCTGAGTCTATGAAATTAATTGTTTTTGAAACAAGTCATTAGCTGTTACATCGTGACGTAGATAGGTCATTGGCCGCTCCCAACAACTGCACCGTGACGTCTAGAACACATTCAAATACTTCAGCTGAATCGCATCATGTCGAGAAGACACTGTGTTCTACATTGCAAAGACAGTTCAGCCACTTGTTTCCATTGTCCAGGTATGAGCATGTGAAGAATCAGTGGTCAGAGTTCATATTTGCAACGAGTAATATTTGCAATCCAGTGTGTATGGATCAGGTTCGTCCTCCTCCGAATCACAATCTGTAAGTAATATTAATAATATTTGCTGTTATGTTTTCTGTAGCATGCACAATATAGTTATATTGTGTTGTGTGTGTTGTGTACACTCCGCGCAGTTTCTAAGCGGGGTAAAGTTAGTTTTGTTTTTGATATTCACCAGACATTCATTGAAAAATGGCAATTACCTCCTAAACGACTTAGCCAAATATGACATCGCCCATATTTAATAAGCACTGCCCCTCAAAAGCTGCCGCAATGTGAGTTTCACCGGGAAAGCTTGCTCTTGACAGAGACGCGAGTAAGGAACCATGCGGAAAGTGCACTTTTTCTGACACGTTTGTTCAAACACTATATACAATTTTCAACACTTGACAAGCTATAATCCTGGTTATGGGCGTTACGTTGCCGACAATCTCTGCCTACGGTTTACCAATAACAACTGACTGGGTCATTTGACCAATCGCCGCAGATTCGCGTCACTCAAAGGAGGTGTTTGGGAAAATGAATCGTTGAACGAATCATTTGGGAGTCGTTGAGCAAATCAGTTAAAAGTAAATGCATATTATGAGACAAATAAAGTGTTTTTTTTTATCCTTGCATGCACGTTAAACTGTTTTTGGGAACTCCCAAAACAAAAATAGGAACATTTCAAATGCTATGATAGGGGCTCTTTAAATCTGCAGTATTTTCACCATGACTTTCACCATGCTGTCCTGCTGTAAAACAACCCAATAATTTCATTAAACATCTCATCTTTGGTGTAAGGTACTCTATATAAGTTTTATAACTTTGTTTTGTCTTTAGAGCAGTATTAGGGGTAAAAAATATTAATATTCTTAGGAAATGTTTTTGGAAATACAAAATATTTGTAACTTCTCGAATGAGAAAGTGAGCAGTTAACCTCGTCATGAAAGAGAAGTTGCTCCTGTATAGTGTTGTATATCCCAGAAGAACAAGAACACATGTGGGCGGGGCTTGATCATGTCTGTGGGGATTTGATTGGATGGTGGGATGGTTGTGGTTGGCTAATGGTGGATGAGAGGGAAAACGTGTAGATGTGTCTTCACCCGCAACCCCTAACACCTGCAAGGTCAGAGGTCAGAAGGATCGGAGTGGAAACACAGGCTGGTTCTGATAGAGATACACAAATGATACACAAATACAGTGTGTGTGTGTGTGTGTTTGTATGATGGTCAGGTATGTGTGTGTATGTAAGTACATCCATGTTCATATGAACAGTTGAAGTTATATAGTGGTCATAGGACATAGCGGTAGGACATAGCAGTAATGAATTCAAGTACTAAAATATGATAAATTATGATAATTATTAGCAGTGTTATGCTGTTGCAGAACACACGTGAGGCCCTTGCACATGTGTTTCCGTACTCGTCATTCACGGCTCTGGACTCTCAAAATGCTACGGATGTGAAAAACGCAGAAAATTGAACGCAATCCGAATTTTTTTATGACAGACAAGAGTTTCGGAGACGGTTTGTAAACATGATTGCCACAACGATTCGGTGTGTGAGGGCCTTTACTGTGTGTGTGTGTGTGTGTGTATACCCCAGACCAGGACCGAAACCGCGAGAGCAGCAGGAGATTTGAGGCTCATGGCTTGTGATTAGCTGAATGTTAGTTCACTCAAATCTGAGTAACAAATCAGAGAACAGGGGCGGAAATATTGGAGGCTGGTCAAGAAAAGTGCTGGAGACAGAATCACATGTTCTAACAGTGCGGGGAACGTTGGTGTGTGATGGTCTGGTGTGTGTGTGTGTGTGTGTGAATGATGGTCAGGTGTGTGTGTATTTGCAGCTCTGAGACCTTCAGACCCTCAACAACATGTGGAAAGAATTTATGACCTACTTTCATTTCCTCATATTATACTAAACACCACACACACACACTGAACACACCATCACTCACACACACAGACACTGAACACATACTCACTCACTCACTCACTGAACACACACACACACACTCACTCACACACACACACACACACACACACACACAGTCTCTCTCTCTCTCACTTACACACACGTACACTCTCTCTCTCTCTCTCTCTCTCTCACTTACACACACACACACACACACGCGCACACTTTCCAATGACGGATCTGATAAAATGACTGATGAATGATGATGAAACTCAGTTACTGGATCACATGCGTACTCACACAGACACACATGTAAATGCTGTTCTTCCTCAGTGTTTCTGTCTTGTTTTCCAGCACAAATATTCAAACATTCTTAAATCAAGACACATTTACTGGAGAAGAAGCAAAATGACACAAAACAGTGTATGCATTTCTTTGATTATCACTTCTTTTGATAATACAGTTTTTCTCGATTGTTTACACACATTTTCTTGCAAGTATGCCTGGTTTAGTGTCTGTGTGTCAGCGCATGTGATCTCTCAGAACTCTACTACACACAAATCTAAAAACACTCACACAATTGGCAAAACCCCTCAATTCTAGTGCAAAATTAAACTTTACATTCAAAACAATGTTATATATTCTCAAAATGGTATTTTGTTTTCAAATGACACACATAAACCATTATATGAATAGACACTTCTAAGAACCAGTTGAACACTGATGTGCTCAATGTAAAACACTATGATCAATGGAAAACACTTCTTTATTCATCATAATGACTTGAGCCTTTTTTTGTTCAGTGTTACATTTACTACAGACATTGCATACATACGTGTGTTGTAAAATATTTGAGAATATTGTTTTTATACCCAGAACACAAATACACGATAACAAATATATTTTATTTTTCCCACAAAAACAATGGGAAATAGATCGCACATTTCATACACCCCAACCAATACAAAGTTGCACATACAGTGGTCTACATACAAAACAACAGAAATTTTTTTTTATGCTGTTACAGTAAAAAATAAATAAATAAATATCTATGCTGTATCCTCTCTTTGGTTTTGACATTTTATGCTAAAGCTCTGATTGCTAATTTTAAAACTGTGTGACGGGTGTTTTGCCCATGTGACGACTGACGAGTCAGTGTGAATATTTGTATGGCAGTGTGTTCCTTGTGAAAACAAGAGATTTTCTGCATGAAATTTGTGCCATAAACTGAATCCAGGAAAAAATAAGCATTTCTGAAAAAAAGTATTCTTCGCATATATTCATATATATGGTCAAAAATCGTGCCACAAACCGAATCGTGGGTTTGGTGTATCGTTACAGCCCTACTGCTGTCCCTTTAAGAGCTGCGGGTCCAATACACTGATACACACGAGGACAGAACAGTCTCTCGTGCTCGTGCTAGCCATATTGAAATGCTCACAGAGGAATCCATGAGAGGAATTGAAATTTAAATTTTATGACAAGTGTCTGATTCCTGACCTCAAGTATTTGATTCCAGAATTGGAATAAACTTTTGATTTCCAGGCTTTCACAACCTCACTATTGTCCAGCTGTGACATTAACTGTCTCTCTGTCTGATGTTCTGTGTGTGTGTGTGTGTGTGCAGGTCTGTTCCTAATGGTGGGTCTGTTGCTGTACCCAGCGGGCTGGGGTTCTGAAAAGGCGCGGCTGTACTGCGGGCCGGATGCGGGCCTGTACCGGCTGGGCCTGTGTTCTGTGGGCTGGGCGTTCTACACGGCGCTGGGCGGCACCGGCCTCAGCTTCCTCTGTGCGGTGTTCTCCGCGCAGGCTGAGGTCGCCACGTCCAGCGACAAGGTGCAGGAGGAGATAGAGGAGGGCAAGAGCCTGATCTGCCTGCTGTAGGCCCCTTCCCAGTGGCTAGGCCCCGGTGGCTTGTGACACGCCCACTTCCCAGAAGCTCCGGCGGCCTGACACGCCCCTTCCCAGAAGCCCCAGCGGCCTGACACGCCCCCTTCCCTAAAGCCCCAGCGGCCTGTGACACGCCCCCTTCCCAGAAGCCCCGGCACCCTGTGACACGCCCCCTTCCCAGAAGCCCCGGCAGCCTGTGACACGCCCCTGTTCCACTGTCTGTGTGACACGCCCCCTTCCCAGAAGCCCCAGCGGCCTGTGACACGCCCCTTCCCGGAACCCCCTGTTCCACTGTCTGTGTGACATGCCCCCTTTCCAGAAGCCCCGCGACATGTGACGCCCCTTCCCAGAAAACCCGGCAGCCCCTGTTCCACTGTCTGTGTGTGACACGCCCCTTCCCAGAAGCCCTTGTTCCACTGTCTGTGTATCTCCTGCCGCACAAGTGCTGTAAAGTGAAGCCACAGGGCTCAATCGCCCCGGTGGCTGGTCCCAGGATAGCTCATATAAACCCCGCCTCCCTAGGATAGCTCATAAGCCCCGCCTCCCCTGAACAGCTCATAAGCCCCGCCTCGCCAGGAAGTCTAATGGGACGCTAGAGAAACATTCAAATTACACTTCAGATTATTTTTTTCCAAACATTTTTTTCTGCCATTTTAGGAAGTTTTTTCTCGCTGATTTAAGTTTGTGTTCGTTTTTTGATCTTAGTTTGTTATTTGATGCTCTAAAAACAGTGTGTGGCGTCATAATTGACAGTTGTGATTGACATCTTCTCTAAATGAAGTCACTGAGGCACAAACAGACTTTTTTGGGATTTTCGGGAGGAGATTGGAGATTCAACTTTTATTTCCACAACTCCATAACTGTTTATTTCACACAGTAGAGTGTGTAGTTGCGGTTCCTGCAAGCGTGAGGGCGGAGCTTGATATCACGTCGTCTCGCTCACTGCTCCCAGATCAGCTTGAGGTGTTCATATCAGGACTTACTGTCCATGTTCTCAGATGATCTGATGTGTATGTGTGTGTGTGTGTGTGTGTGTCATATTAGATGATCTGATGTGTGTTCGTCTGTTGTACATATGCCTGTATATAATGTAAATATCATTCTGAAGGATTGTGGGAAACCACTGTGCCAAACCCACACACACACACACCTGAGATCGACCTGCTCCACAGAGCCAGATACGTGTACTGAGCGGTGTGTGTGTGTGTCTCTCTCTCTCTCTCTCTGTCTGTCTCTATGTGTGTGTGTGTGTCTGTCTGTCTGTCTGTCTCTCTCTCTCTGTGTGTGTGTGTGTGTTGGTGTCTGTCTGTCTGTCTGGTTGTGTGTGTGTGTGTGTTCACCTCCATCTCTGCCAAATAAAGAAGCCATGACTAAAACACGAGCTGCTGTCTGTCTGTTTTTCACTTGAACTTCCTGCAAAACACTCTGGAGGTCAGTGACCCCGCAGCACTGGTGTGTGTGTGTGTGTGTGTTTGTGTTTGTAGAACTATCTGTGTGAGAGACGTTTGAGTTTTAGATGGAATGAAGACAAAGAGAATAAAGTGAGGACATTTTGACTTCTTTAAAATAGATTTTGACAAACGGAATAGTACTTGAGAATCACATGATCAACACACACTGAACACACACACACTCACTGAACACACATACACACTTGCTGAACACACACACACACGGGTCATATCCTGACTCACATCCTGTGTCATTCAAAAAAGAAAGAAATGAGCGGCAAAGAAAATCCTGATTGCTTCCAGATTTTCTTTGTCGTTTGTGAAACTGAACTGTCTTAAACTCTTCTTCTAATTTACCCACAATCCCTCCAGCACAAGATGACCTCTGACCTGACGTGTGTTGCTGACGCACAAGATTCAGACACTTTTCTGTTAGACAATCAACAAGAGAGAGTTGAGTGTGTGTGTGTGTGTGTGTGTGTGTGTGTGTAGACGACCAGCAGTCTTTCATTGCAATTAGCCAACAAGTAAATACACGAGCATGGTTTAGATTAAATTTACACACACACAATCAGCCTGTGTGGTGAAACATCTGGAGAAAGACTGTGTGTGTGTGTGTGTGTTTCTATATTCTGGCAGAGCAGCAAATGAACTACAAACCACAGAAGAGAAAATATCTATCTTCTTTTTTGGCTTATTTGCAGCATGAGCTGCTCGTTCCAGTGACGCAATCGCAGTGACATCATCACGTGACTGCTGCTCGTTATTACCTGGTTATTACCCTATGGTTATTACCTATGGTTATTGCAGTGAGTGAACATACACACATGATCACAGTGACCCCTGCTGTTCTTTTGTGTTCAACTGCAATTGTGTCTTATTTTACAAAATAAAAGCCTTGGAAATTAGCTGCATTTTAGCTTTATTGTCACATTCAAAGATGTATTTGTTCAAACAAGCATTCCCAGTGATTTCACCATAAGAACAAGATCTATTACATTCAATTCCACATGTGTTTCTATGACGCTTTATTCAATACCATAGACTCAATGGGCTATATGCACGCATAAGTTCCGCATTTGACGCAAGGATGCTCGTCCATTTCCGGTTGTGGAGATTAAAGCGGAGGGAAACCGAGGAAAACGGGATCATCCTGGTTGCAGTTCCATTAGAATTCCACTGGAGGTGATCGCGGGCGAGAGCAGAATGAATGGGAGTCTATGGGGCTAAACGGCTAAAAGTGTCTCTTTCACCTGCTTGTAGTTAAATTAACATAGATTTTATTGTTGATTCCGCAAGTTCAATATAGATTATAGGCCAAAAGTCGAATGAACGAGTACTTATGTCCTTTTGATTTCTTACAGGTTAGGCCGTTGTTGGCCGGAACACGCTAGCATTCTGCTATCTTGTGACGTCATCACATTTTTGAACGGATTTTTAGAACAGATAAGTGAACTTAAAAATGCAATTTTTCATTTGAGTGTATTATCTTAGCCCTCCCTTTTGAATGCAACTTTCAAATTACTTGACAAAAAATTACATCTTGAGAAAAGTGGATTTTTGGGGGTGAAACCCCATTGACTCCCATTCATTCTGCACTCGACCGCGAGCGCCCCCGCATGGACAGAGACGTGTTACTGCAGCCAGTCCAGAACCCGGAAGTAACCAGCCAGTGCCAATTCTCTCTTTTTTTTTTCTCCAAAATTATATATTAATACATTAGAAACAACACAATTAGACATTCTCTGCCCATACCATACGCGTGTATGTGTGTGTGATTTATCTCCTGGCCGCAGGGTGGCGCTAATTAATTAGCCCATCATCGTGTGTGTTTATTCACAGTCAGTGTTTATGTGCGTGTGCTGTTCCTCTCCTGCCCGCAGGGAAGCGCTAATCAGCCATCAGTGTCTGTGCGTGTGCTCGTACTCGTGTCCGCAGCGTGTGAGTTTGTGATGAGGAACACATGAAACGCTTTCGGGATTTAACGCTTGTTTTAATGATTATGATAGTGCAAGTGAATGATCATATCGACCTGTTCTTTAGTATCTGACCGGATTAATGATGAGGAAACAGCAGAAGTTGAGCAGCGGTTTGTCCGATAAAGTGCGCAAGTCTAAAGCGGCTCCGGAGATTCAGAAAAATCCATTCGAGGTGAAAATCAACCGCAAGAAGTTCGATGTTTTGGGTCGCAAGAGCAAACATGACGTGGGTCTGCCGGGTGTCTCGCGATCCAGAGCCAATCAGAAGGTAAAAGTAAAACATACTAAAGCCATGTTTATGGAGATGTAGTCATGAGTGATTTGTAGAAATACTGTGGTGTAGCCTATCACATGTACCACTATAGAAACATATGTAATTAATATTATGTTATTATAAAAACTTATGGAAAGGAATTGATTCAAATCGTACAATTTGTGTCAGTGTCCAGCCCGGATTAGGTGTGATAACTATATCGATAATTATAGCGGTAACTGTAACAACTAAAATGATAATAGCTGTAACTACTATAACAATAACAATATCTGTTACAATAACAATAATACAAGCTGTAGTAATAATTATATCAGTAACAATAACTATAATAATGGCTGTAACAATAACTATATCGGTAACAATGACTAATAAAAGCTGTAGCAACAATTATATATGTTGCAATAACTATAACTATATACTGTAACAATAATAACATCTGTTACAAAAACTATATTAAAAGCTGCAGTAAAAATTATATCTGTAACAATTACTATAATATTGGCTGTAACAATAACTATATCTGTAACAATATCTGTTACACTAACTATAATAAAAGCTGTAACAAATAATTATATCTGTAACAATAACTATAACGATATCTGTAACAATAATTAAATCTGTAATTATAACTATAATGATAGCTGTAACAATAACTAGCCTATGTGTGTAAAAATAACTATAACAATATCTTTAACAATAACTATAACAATGTCTTCAACAATAACTATAATGATAACTATAACAGTAACTAGCCTACAATAATAACTATAACAATATCTTTAACAATATCTGTAACAATAACTATAACTATAAAGATAACTGTAATAATAACTAGCCTATATCTGTAATACAACTATAAAAAAAATCTGTAAACAAGTATAATGATAGCTGTAATTATATCTGTAACAATAACTATAAATGTAATAACACTAATGATAGTACCCATGACTATAATAGCTCTAACTCTAATGCCAGACCGGTGTAACAGTGGCTGTGATAACTGTAACGCTGAATGTGTCTGATGAAGTGTGTGTGTGATCCCACAGAGGAAGGAAACTCTCCTGAAGGAGTTCAGACTCAAAGGCAAGAACAACAAATTTGTTGACAGACGCTTCGGTGAATATGACAATAAGATCACACCTGAGGAGAAAATTTTGCAGAGATTCACACTGGAGAGACAGGTGACGCACCTCATCATTACCTCATCACATTCACCTTCATCATGGGTATCTACTGATGCTGTGTGTGTGTGTGTGTGTGTGTGTGTGTAGCGTACTCATGGCAGGAAGGACATGTTTAATCTGAATGAGGAAGAGGAGCTGACGCATTACGGTCAGTCTCTGGCAGAGATGGAGAAGATGACGGATGTAATTGACAGCGACAGTGACTCTGAGGAGAAGGGACTGCTGTCAGGTGACGCATTTAAACATGTGACCTTCCCCATCAGTAGCTCTGACCAGCGCTTATCAATGGTTATTTATATATTTACACTCAAATCCTGACTGTTTCTGCAGCTGAACTGACTGCGTCACACTTTGGCGGTGGGGGAGGTTTATTGAGGATGAAGAGCGCTGGAGATGAAGATGAACAACACAAACCCAAGTCACGACAGGAACTGATCGAAGAACTCATCGTCAAATCCAAACAGGAAAAGGTCAGTGTTTCTTCAAATAATATAATGTTACTTAATCATGATTAAACTTTATCCTGTCTACTCTATTTAGTCGTGTTGTAAACGATAACTACAATAATGATAACTGGTTGCTGTAACAGTAACTATAACGATAGCTGTAAAAGTAACTATGATGAGAGCTGTAACACTAATTATGACGATAGCTGAAACAATAATTATGTCTGTGCCAACTGTAACGATATATGTAACAATTATATCTGTAACAGTAACTATAACGATATCTGTAACAGTAACTATAACGATAGCTGTAACTATAACGATAGCTGTAACAGTAACTAAAATTATATCTGTAACAGTAACTATAAGGATAGCTGTAACAGTAACTATAAGGATAGCTGTAACAGTAACTATAATGATATCTGTAACAGTAACTATAATGATAGCTGTAACAGTAACTATAAGGATAGCTTTAACAGTAACTATAATGATATCCCTAACACTAATTATGTCAATAGCTGTAACAATAATTATATCTGTGCCAACTGTAATGATGTATGTAACAATTATATCTGTAACAGTAACTATAACGATATTTGTAACAGTAACTATAACGATAGCTGTAACAGTAACTATAACGATAGCTGTAACAGTAACTAAAATTATATCTGTAACAGTAACTATAAGGATAGCTGTAACAGTAACTATAAAGATAGCTGTAACAGTAACAGTAAGGATAGCTGTAACAATAACTATAATAATAGCTGTAACAGTAACTATAAAGATAGCTGTAACAGTAACTATAAAGATAGCTGTAACAGTAACTATAATGATAACTGTAACAGTAACTATAAAGATAGCTGTAACAATAACTATAACAATTAGCTGTAACAGTAACTATAACGATAGCTGTAACAGTAACTATAATGACAGCTGTAACTATAAAGATAGCTGTAACAGTAACTATAAAGATAGATGTAACAGTAACTATAAAGATAGCTGTAACAGTAACTATAAAGATAGCTGTAACAGTAACTATAAATATAGCTGTAACTATAAATATAGTTGTAACAGTAACTATAAAGATAGCTGTAACAGTAACTATAACGATAGCTGTAACAGTAACTATAACAATAGCTGTAACAGTAACTATAAAGATAGCTGTAACAGTAACTATAATGATAGCTGTAACAGTAACTATAATGATAGCTGTAACAGTAACTATATAATGATAGCTGTAACAGTAACTATAATGATAGCTGTAACAGTAACTTTAATGATAGCTTTAACTATAATGATAGCTGTAACAGTAACTATAATGATAGCTGTAACAATAACTAAAACGATTAGCTGTAACAGTAACTATAACGATAGCTGTAACAGTAACTATAACGATTAGCTGTAACAGTAACTATAACGATAGCTGTAACAGTAACTATAACTGTAACAGTAACTATAACGATAGCTGTAACAGTAACTATAACAATAGCTGTAACAGTAAAAATAAAGATAGCTGTAACAGTAACTATAACTATATAAATATAGCTGTAACAGTAACTATAACGGTAGCTTTAACAGTAACTATAACGGTAGCTGTAACAGTAACTATAATGACAGCTGTAACTATAACGATAGCTGTAACAGTAACTATAACGATAGCTGTAACTATAAAGAGAGCTGTAACAGTATCTATAACCATAGCTGTTACAGTAACTATAACGATAGCTGTAACAGTAACTATAAAGATAGCTGTAACAGTTAATATAACGATAGCTGTAACAGTAACTTTAATGATAGCTGTAACAGTAACTATAACGATAGCTGTAACAGTAACTATAACGATAGCTGTAACTATAACGATAGCTGTAACTATAATGATAGCTGTAACAGTAACTATATAATGATAGCTGCAACAGTAACTATATCTGTAACAGTAACTATAATGATAGCTGTAACAGTAACTATAACGATAGCTGTAACAGTAACTATATCTGTGACCGTAACTGTAGCAATATCTCTAACAGTAACTATAACGATAGCTGCAACAGTAACTATAACGATATCTGCAACAGTAACTATAACGATAGCTGTAACAGTAACTATAACGATAGCTGTAACAGTAACTATAACGATAGCTGTAACAGTAACTATAACGATACATGTAACAGTAACTATAACAATAGCTGTAACAGTAAAAATAAAGATGGCTGTAATAGTAACTATAACGATAGCTGTAACAGTAACTATAACAGCTGTAACAGTAACTATAACTCTGACAGTAACTCTAGCAATATCTCTAACAGTAACTAAAACGATAGCTGTACCAGTAACTACTGTAAATCTGTAACAGTAGCTATAAAGATAGCTGTAACAGTAACTATAATGATAGCTGTAACAGTAACTATATCTGTGACAGTAACTGTAGCAATATCTCCAACAGTAACTATAACGATAGCTGTAACAGTAACTATAACGATAGCTGTAACAGTAACTATATAATGATAGCTGTAACAGTAACTATATCTGTAACAGTAACTATAACGATAGCTGCAACAGTAACTATAACGATATCTGCAACACTAACTATAACGATATCCGCAACAGTAACTGTAACAATAGCTGTAACAGTAACTATAACGATAGCTGTAACAGTAACTATAACGATACCTTTAACAGTAACTATAACAATAGCTGTAACAGTAAAAATAAAGATAGCTGTAATAGTAACTATAACGATAGCTGTTACAGTAACTATAACGATAGCTGTAACAGTAACTATAACAATAGCTGTAACAATATAAATAAAGATAGCTGTAATAGTAACTATAACGATAGCTGTAACAGTAACTATAACGATAGCTGTAACAGTAACTATAATGATACAGCTATTGTTATAGTTACTGTTACAGTATCATTATAGTTACTTTTACAGCTATCGTTATAGTTACTGTTACAGCTATCGTTATAGTTACTATTACAGCTATCTTTATTTATACTGTTACAGCTATTGTTATAGTTACTGTAACAGCTATCGTATAGTTACTATTACAGCTATCGTTATTTTACTGTTACAGCTATTGTTATAGTTACTGTAACAGCTATCGTTATAGTTACTATTACAGCTATCTTTATTTTTACTGTTACAGCTATTGTTATAGTTACTGTAACAGCTATCGTTATTTTACCTGTTACAGCTATTGTTATAGTTACTGTTACAGGTAACAGGTAAAATAACGATAGCTGTTACAGTAACTATAACAATAGCTGTAACAGTAAAAATAAAGATAGCTGTAATAGTAACTATAACGATAGCTGTAACAGTAACTATAACAATAGCTGTAACAGTAACTATAACGTAACAGTAACTATAACGATAGCTGTAACAGTAACTATATCTCTGACAGTAACTCTAGCAATATCTCTAACAGTAACTATAACGATAGCTGTAACAGTAACTACTGTATATCTGTAACAGTAACTATAACGATAGCTGTAACAGTAACTATAACGATAGCTGTAACATTAACTATATCTGTGACAGTAACTGTTGCAATATCTCCAACAGTAACTATAACGATAGCTGTAACAGTAACTATAACGATAGCTGTAACAGTAACTATAATGATAGCTGTAACAGTAACTATAACGATAGCTGTAACAGTAACTATATCTGTGACGGTAACTAGCAATATCTCCAACAGTAACTATAACAATAGCTGTAACAGTAACTTTAGCAATAGATCATTCTGTTCATGCTAAGCATGCTGCTGTTTGGTCATCGGCTGCTGTCAGTGCTAGCGCTCTCTAATGAAAGTGGAGTGGATTCTGATTGGCTTTCATTTGGACTTTGCTATTTGAAACAGAGCGATTAATAAAAGGTTATGGTTGTAGCTGTAATGGTTTAACGGCTATGCTCTCCCTGTTCTCAGCGCGAGCGTCAGACTCAGAAGGAGGAGGCGCAGGTGCTCACGGAGAAACTGGACCAGGAGTGGAGATCCATTCAGAACCTTCTGGCCCACAAGACCCCTAAAGCTGAGAGGAAAGAGGAGGTGGACAAGCCCAAGGTAGCTGAGCGACGTGTGTGTGTGACAGTGATGATATCTGTCTGTGTGTGTGTGTGTGTGTGTGTGCTGCTCTCTCTCTCTCTCTCTCTCTCTCTCTCTCTCTTTTGTGTGTGTGTATGCTGCTCTTCCTCACTCTCTCTCTCTTGTGTGTGTATCAGATGGAGGACTATGACGTGATGGTGCGAGAGCTGGGCTTCGAGATGAAGGCTCAGCCGTCAGAGAAGCTGAAGAGTTCAGAGGAACTCGCTCGAGAGGAGAGACTCCGCCTGCAGACGCTGGAGGTGCTCAGCTTTATTCTAGAGCGGCTGTAAAGCCACACACTTTCTGCTACTGTAATCTCCTGTGAAACATCTGCACTGGATGCAGATGAGGATGAGTTAATGCGTGTTTGTGATTCAGGCCGACCGACTGAAGAGGATGATGGGAGATGCTGAGGGAGAATCTGCTCACACACACACACACACCTCTGCTGATGATATCAATGATGGATTCATACTGGATGGTGACGAGCGAAAAACACTCGCTTACAAGGTCAGAAACACACACATACTAAACACAGATTAGATACTTATAAGAACTAGGAGTCCTGTTCAGTATTATAGTATGCATATCTATCCTTCTGAACATTTACGCTGCATGTGATTTAAATATTCTAATGAGTGTGAGTGACTGTCAGCAGGACGGCAAATGGAACATAGAGGAGGACAGAGAGGAAGAGGAGGATGAGGTGGGAGAGGAAGAGCATGAGATCGGTGCAGATGATGAGGGTGAAGAGGAGGATGAAGATGATGATGATGATGATGATGGAGATGATGATCTTCAGTCTGATGAGGATGAGGGGGATCAGGCCGCTGTGGAAGAGGAGGGTCGTGATGAAGAAGAAACAGTGAGGGATGAAGAGCAGAGGAGAGCCATACAGGAGGCAGCCCGAGCAGAACTGCCCTACACCTTCACAGGTACACACTCACACACACATACACACAGGTGTCGCACCTGCACAGTCACATGATCACAGACAAGAGCGAAACTGAAGATTTGGTCTAAAGCGCATGTGTAAGTGCTCTTAGGGCGTTTAGCACTTAAACTAGCACTGTCCTGCTAGTTTAACGACGGGATAGGGCTGGGCGATAAATCGATTTTATCGATTAACTCGAATTTGTAGTTTGCGCCGATTTGCAACGATTTTCTTGAATGAAAATCGGTTTTCTTTGACAACGGCCATCTGGGCTCCCGTAGTTCCGACCGCGCTCAGCGCTTGCTATGATAGCGATTCACTAACGGCAGCAAAAGCACACACGCACACATCCATTTTCTCACGCAGAGAAACATCACGAAGCAAAGAGCAAGAGGAGACTGACACCAACAGACAGAGCAGGTTGTTATTGATATGAGACAGATTCTCAGATTCTGTCAGTTTTATTACAAAATTCAAACAATAAACACCGTTTTGGCGCTTGTAAATGTGACGTGATCACGTGAAAGATAACAGATCTCAGTTCTAGCGGCACGTGAACCGATCATCTGTTACTCTTTACTGCTAACTTACCGAAATAAAACCGATCGAGCAGTGTTTTCAACCGTGGAAATATGTCCATAAAACAGCTGGAGAAGTTGGAGAACAACATGTGTCACGTAACGTTACATTTACCTCAGACCCTATGCCTCAGACTCAGGAATGCCTTTTAATGACCCATAGCACGCATGTTAGTTGGATTTAAAATAATTGCTATAGAGAGGAGCATTTTGCTAAATATGATAACTATTTTACACATTTATTATATTTGACCTATGTCATTAAAATATTATAACGTTGTTTGTTATTATAAAAACGCATTATGTTTAATTTGAGTTAGTTTTAACCTTTAATAATACCAGCTGACAGGGCTCTCTGTATGTATTGTATACAGCATTAGGTAATTTATTTTTGGAGAACAATTAACATAACGCATTAACGTATCTACTGTACCTAATATTTATCCAAAGGAATTGATATTGAATCAATATCAGAATCAAATCTTTGAAATTGTGAAATTTGTGTTAAGCAATAATAAAAACAGTAGCATACAGTGTTTGTACCATGTGAACATTGTGTTTATGGTTAATAAACCTAATAAAATTATGTTTAGTTAACAAATAATTTGACAATCACAATAAACGTATTGTGATGCAAGTTGTTTTTATTTTAAATTTTTTTTTTCAATCCCAATCCACCCATTTCATGTTATGTTACATTTACACTTTTTACAATGACAGGGCCTGCCCTCTTGTCTTTTTGGCTTGTTGTTTCTGATTGCACTTTAATCCAGATAATATCACAGAAGGGAATATCAAAACAAAATAAAGTTAAAACTTGTTTAGAACAATTTCTTTGTCATCTGCAGATTGATTTTAAGTAGGGATAGAAAAAAAATCGATTTAAATCGTAAATCGGATTTTTTATGAAAAAATCAGGGATTTTTAATGAAAAAATCAGGGATTTTTTTTTTTTTAGGCCATATCGCCCAGCCCTACGACGGGACAAATGGTCTGCGCTCCCGGCGCTGGTCTAAAAGGATCGTCCCTATTCTCTTAATGAGTAATGGGTGTGTGTTGTCTCAATTCTCTTAATGAGTAATGGGAGTGTTTTGTGCTGAAAATAATCCAATCAGTTCCCTTTAAGAGTCAGTTGCGCTCACGCTGCGGCCGATTCGCTATTTACACGGACTAATTAGCAAGTGGAAAAACTGAATGATTCTCAAGCGAGGAAACGGATCTGCTTGTGCACAGGGTTAAAGGTGTGTGTGTGTGTATTTCAGCTCCGGAGAGTTACAGGGATCTGCAGTCGCTCCTGCAGGGTCACACTTCAGGGCAACAGCGCCTCATACTGGATAGAATGATCACATGTCACCATCCCAGTCTGGCCTCGGGGAACAAAGCCAAGCTACAGGTGGGAGACCAGCAAAAACCCAGTGAGCAGTGAACGCGTGTGTTACTCTCAAAACACTGTTTCCAAGAGTTGGTGGGAATTAAACCTATCATTCTGATCGCCGAGTGTGTGAGAGAGAGATAGAGTGTGTTTGTGTGTTGAATGAGATTGTTCAGTGTTTTATTCTCGCGTTCAGAGGTTGTTCGGCTTTCTGCTGGAGTATGTCGGTGAACTCTCCTCCCAGAATCCACCAGATCTCAGAACAGTCAACTTATTCATCCCGTGAGTAACACACACACAATCACACACACTCACACATACACACACACACACAGATCAAATGAGTACAGCTTTGTTTATGTGTTTGTGTGCAGTCAGATCTACAGTCTGTGTCAGCTGTTCCCAGAAGCAGCCTGTAAAGCGGTTCAGATGTTGCTGAGTGACAGTGCTCACAGCATGGAGGAGACGCTGGAGGTCAGAGGTCGCGCGCCAATGCCTGACCTGGACATGGTACGCCGATCGACTCCCGATAAACACATACAGCGAGGAGATGTGGATCCTGAACTGATGGTGTGTGTGTGTTGTAGTTGGTCCTGCTGAAGATCACGGCGCTGTTGTTCCCCACGTCAGACTTCAGGCATCCGGTGACGACGCCAGCGTTCCTCTACATCAGCCAGGCGCTCAGCAAGGTGTGTGTGTGCGTGTCTCATAGAGTGCTTCAGTGATGATTGTTCCTGCAGCTGATGGTTGTGTGTGTGTCTTTCAGTGTGTCGTGGTCTCTCTGGAAGACGCCTGTAAGGGTTTGATCCTCTGCTGTCTGGCGCTGGAGTTTGTGTCTCTGTCCAAGAGGTTTTTCCCAGAGCTGATGAACTTTCTGCTGGGGCTCCTGCACCTGACGGTCCCCGACAAGACCAACACAGGTGAGAGCGTAAGTGAGAGTGTAAGTCAGTGTGTGAGAGTGTAAGTGAGTGTGTGAGATAGTGATTCACTGAAACCGCTGATTCGCTCAGTGTGGAAACCCCGCTGTGTGTGTCTTTTTTTGTTTTGAACTGTTTTCATTGAAATAGAGCAAAAACAGAGGCAACATGGTTCCTAAAATGTAAGTCACTTAATGTTCATTTCTTGTTTATTAAACTTGTATAAAATCAATATCCCATTTGTTATCATGCTGATATTTGGAGTAAACTGCAGTCTTGTGATATTTATTTGTGATATTTCTTACTAAATTATATATAAAGTCTAAATCATGCAGTGAAAGCGTACGCTCTAAATGCACACCCGCACTAGTCTAATCTACAAGACTACATCACGTAGAGTATGCATACACTCGCTGGGTGTGTGTGTGTGTGAGAAATAGGCTATACTTGATAATGTCGCACATCGTTAAAACAACAATTCCGATATTATTGCAGATGATATATATATATATCACACACCCCTAGTGAGAGTGAGTGTGAGTTTGTGTGTGTTTTGGTTCACACAAGCTGCAAAATAGTCTCACTGCTGTGTAAAATGGTGTGTCACGTCTGGCTGTGATGGGAAGTATTTGACATACTCAAGCGTACAGTCAGATTATCCTTCTCTGTTCTAACATAATGAGCTGCTCGTGTGGAAACAGGAAGAGGAATCTGGTTTACTCCCGGCTCTCGTCGTGTGTGTGGAGTCTGGGTGTTTCCTCCCGGCTCTGGTCCAGTACTGCATCACATCTACAGAGGCGTTACAGTATTTCAGGACTCCAGACTGTGACTAAATGCAGCTCTTCCTCAGTAGCCGCGTTTCCACTGCCGGGCTAGGGCTGGGCCAGAGCTAACAGCGAGCCGAGCCGAGCTAGTGGCCTCGGGCCTCAAGCACCCGGCTTGCGTTTCCACTGCCGGGCCAGTAGCCCCACAGCGCTGCCCCAGACCCCACCCCTAACACGCCTTTCTGGATCAAACGTCATAAAACCCAACCCATTTCAGCGGGTATTATGAATTAATTTATTTTTTAAATTAGGAAGATAGCATGTATATTAACTCACCTGCCGCAGTGGCTGCAATAGTGTCACGAGACCAGTACAGGCGATTCTCCATTTCAAGCAGCGATTTTTTTGCGCGATATAACAAGTAGGGCTGCGGGCACGTTTTCAAGTTATTCATTAACCGTTAACCGAGGCCCATCGGTTAATACTCGGTGCATTGTGTGCGCGCCGCAACCTCGAGATACAGAGTTAATTTTTAACACCTTTAATAACTGATTGGACCCAATTTGAAACGAAATTAATTTATAGAAATAAAACGCAGCAAGTACGGAGCAGTTACAGCCGCATTTCCATCACCCTTCAAACTGAAATTGCCAATTGAAAATAAGCAAAACGTCCATTTCACAAAAACTCCGTGTCTGCAAATAATAATAATAATAATAACCATCATCATCATTATTGTAACATTTTATTAGGCTGCATATGTAGAAGACGCCTTTATCCAAAAAAGGAACAGAGCACAAATAAACAGAATATTTTTGACGCATATCAGCGCATCCAGTGTGTGTGGAGCACGCACTGATGGCTGCGAGACGCCCATGTAAACACTTGCAGTTTCATTGCATTTCTTTCAGTGGAAACAACTTAAAATACTCTTTCATTTCTGGTCATACAGAAAATAATAATACATTATTCGCAAATACATTTATTTGCGTAAACTCACAATAACAAGAAAACGTTGTGCTTTAACAATTAATGATCTCCGTGAACTGAAGCGCGAGACCTGAAACAGCCACCGCATTCGAATTGTTTTAAATTGGACATTTAAAGCTTTAGTCTACAGGGGTTATATCCTTTGTAGATTAAAGCTTTAAATGTCCAATTTAAAACGAACAAATTCGAATCGAAAGCCAATATCTTCTGACTATGTAATTATGTAGCTAATTAATTTCTCTCTAAATGTGCATCCGGAGATGGAGATATGTTTTTAGCCGAAAATCATTTAGAAAACAATAGTTTATTAATAAACAATTAATGCCTCGTTATTTTATATTATTTTATTATCAGACACAATTTATTATAGCCTATAAATCACCTATAATCCCCTTTCTGTAGGCTGTGGTTACGGCTCTTCTCATTCAGCACTGCGGGGAAAATATCATTTCCAGGTTCTAATTTGGCCTCAGAAAACCAGTAAACTATATATTTTTTTTTCATATTAATTTGTCAAATATTTAAAAGTTTAAGGGGCAAAAAAAATCAAACAAATATCTGAAAATTCGTCGATATGTAGCCTATAGCCTATATATTTTTGCGCAGCATTTGGCATAGGCCTACAGTTCAAATTAAAATGTTATGCAATTTTAAACGGTTAATCGGTTAAACATGGACACCCCTATGTGCATCTTGCTTCAGATCATAACGTTCCATAACACCGATAAACTCCGCCTTTTACCTTGAGCACGCCTCTAGCCCGAGCTGGCCCCCTCTGGCCCAAGGTATTCGACGGGCCAGAAATCCTGGCCGTTGGCCCTGAGGAAGCCCCAATCAAGCCCCGGAAGTGACAGTGGAAACGCGACTGGCCCTGGCACGCACTAGCACGGCCCGGCCCTGGCCCGGCAGTGGAAACGCGGCTAGTGTTTCTGTCGTGTTTTCCAAAACAAATATTCAAACAAGATAGATTTACTGGAGAAGCAAAACGACTGACACATTAAGTGTTGTTTTTATGAAAATTAAGTGAGGTTTTGCTTAAAGGAGTAGTTCAATTTCAAATGAAAATTATCCCATGATTTACTCTCCCTCAACCCATCCTCAGTGTGTATGACACTCTCCTCAGTGTGTGTGACACTCTTCCTCGGTGTGTAAGACACTTTTGTCATTCTGATCGTGTGTGTGTTTGTGTAGGTTATGCATTGTTGAGTCCGTTCAGACAGCAGGGGAAGAACTGCGATCTGTTGGTTCTGACGGATCCAAACGCGTGTCAGAGCTGGATAAGAAAACCAGTGTCACTGCAGACAGCTGTCAGATGTCCAGCGGAGAGAGAGCACTGCAGGTACACACACTCGCACTCAGACACACAGTAGACGCACACACCTCATTTTTGTGTTGATTTTGACGTTTGTTGTGGATCGTTGTCCTGATGGAGGATCCGTCCACGGCACTTGTAGGATCTCCAGCACAGGTCGGCAGGCTTTGATTTTTATCTGTTGGTATTTGCTAGAATCCATGATATTCATGCATCTGAACAAGAAGTCACACCCACACACTCACAAGAAGTCCAGGACCTCCAGCACAAGAATATGCCAACAGCATTACAGTGGTTTATTACATGGCCTGGTTGAATTCTAATGTAGAATGCGGTGTGTTATTTCTTGATAACAGACGCTGTTATAGTATAGCACACCGTTGCAATGAAAAACAGAGCGTTGTTATGGACATAGTTCTGTTCACTCTGGAGGATAAACTCCTTTAAATCAATAGACTTCTTTTTAAATCAATATTTAAATTTTGTGTCAAATTATATTTATTTGGTTGTTAGCCATTTAATAAGCTTTGCCTTCGCTTCACGTTGGGTCCTGATCATTGTATTCGCTATAACAACGCCTCGCTCTACATTATACATAACGCTGTATCCCATCCGGTGTGTTTGCTGCCTGTTGTGGCTGAAATTCTGTTAAAGGGGTCATGAACTGGCTTTTTAAATTTTATAATTTAATTCCGGATATGTTATGACTGTATACATACACGTATAGATAGATATACACATGCAGTCAGTATATTTTAAACTATTGTCATTTCCAGTGGTTCATAGCAGTGGGTGGAGCTCTTGCTTATATAGATCCTCTGATTGGTGGAGATTTTTTCTTGGATCATGGGTAAATGTAGGATCATGGGTAATGAGTTCTGCTGTTATATGACATGTTCTGTTGAGTAAATCTAGTGAGCGATTCTGTGTGTGTTTCAGGCTGTCTCTCGTCGACTCGTGTCTGGATCTGGTGAATCGATGCACGTCTCTCTACAAGGACCTGCCGTCATACACACACATCTTCCAGCCAATCAGAGTGCTCCTCCTGAACCATCTTCCCATTTCGCTGTACCCGTCCTGCACACAGGTTCATGTTCACTCATGACATCATACGGGCTTCATGACATCACTAGGGCTCATGCTCACTCATGACATCACACAGGCTTCATAACATCACACGGGCTTCATGCTCGCTCATGAGCCTCCAGAGTCGGCCTAAACCAGCGCTAGAGGAACTGCAGTAACGGGAGTGTTCTTTGATTGGCCGAACGCACATGAAACACCAGCACTCGCCATTATTTAAAAAAGCTAAACGCACAGATTACAGCCTATATATTTATACTAATATATACACTAATAATTTTATTACTGTGTACTTTCTGTGTATAACACTTCTAGCTAATAGCGTATTAGACCAATCGTACACCAATGAACAGGAGAATGTGAGCCCTGGCATTCTCAGAGCCGTCAAAAAGTCAAGTCAAGTCTCAACACGCGTGCCTTGCGTCGAGTCAAAGTTCCTGCTAGCGCTGCGAACGCAACAGGAGAACATCTCTCAGGGACCATCAGCTTTCGGGACCCGTCCTGGAGGCTCCTGTAACTCTCCGGTGCGGAAGCCCCTCGTGTTCACGGCGAACGGGTCATTCTTATTAATTCTGGGTTTTATATGTCCTGCAGGATCTTCACAGAGAGATATTAGATGCCATTCCTGAACAGCCTTCCCAGCATGCACCTCTGGTGTTCAAGAAGAAGAAACCCATCCCGCTGAAACTCTTCACACCTAAGATTGTGGAAATGTGAGTCGAACAGGAACAAGACACTTGTTTCCCTCGCCTAGTTTGAGTTTCTCGCACCAACCTTCGTTACTTATGTCATGTAGAATGCAAATTTTCCAAAATTTAGAATGCAAATTAATGCCGCCTGAATCACAATCATAATCATCCACTGTTCAGTCGTTGGCCAGAGGAGAACTGAGTCTGGTTCAAGGTTATTATTTTAAAAAAAAGTTTTTTTTTAATATCGTTTTCAATTTTGCTTTAAATTGAAGTTTAGTTTTAGTTTGTTTCATTAATGGTATTGTTAGTTTTAGTTTAGTTTTTATTTTACAAACATATTTCTATTTAGTTTTTATTTTATTTAGTTTTAGTAACTATAGTTTAGCAGAGCTAACAGATAGGGTTGGGTATCTAAAATCGAGTATCGATTGGAACCGGGACTAACTTTTCGTTTTTCCCGGAATCGTTCAAAAGTTCAAATTTCGATTCCTAGTTTCGATATTCACAGTCCGCCGAGCTGAAGAAGAAACCGCTGAACAACACCAACGAAGAAGCGTCTACCGGAAGTGTTGGTATAACCGCGCGAGTCGAACATGAGTAGCTTATGTCAGCGGTCCAAAGTGTGGCTTCACTTTTCTAAAAATAACGAAATCTCGGCAAAATGCAAAATTTGTGACAAAAGGAATATTTGTGACAGAAGGAGTATTTCCTTCAGAAAGGAGTATTTCCTTCAGAAAGACCGTTGGTTAGCATGGTTAGCTAAACTTTTTTGACCCTGCCTCTTAAAAGAATCGGAATCGAGAATCGTTAGGAACCGGAATCGAAACAAGGAATCGGAATCAGAAACGTTCAAATTCAAATGATACCCAACCCTACTAACAGAACACATCCAGTGTAGACCAAATTGAGTTGCTTAATTTCACCAAAGTTTAATGTTTGCCCAGAATACAGTTAACTCTTGGGCAGACATCTTAATAATACAAATAAAATAATGGTTTGAGATTGAACAAAGCACCAAATAAATAGAACTTAAAAGTAGACAAGAAAAATATATGAAAAATTCAGACAAACTAATTCATATTAAGATTCAATCTGACTACAGCCAACACAACTTGCTGTGAACAGTGTGATTAAATAATGAAGTATCTATGTAATCATACAGAATGAGTTTTTTGGAAAATGTGAAAATGGAGAAAGTTGTGTGTGAGATTTAAGGGTTGGGTTAATGTCTGTTTAATGAGTAGGGTAGGGATGAGTATGTCTATGGAGAGTCCCCACAAAGATAGTGGACCAGCCTGTATGTCTCTGTGTGTGTGCGCGTGTGCATGCGCGCTTGTTGGTGTGTCTCGTCCTGGTATTCCCTAGAATCCCTACATTGTCAACCTTAATGAAAACATGATATCTCAAACATATAGAAGTACATTAAATTTATTTTTATGCTTGACGGACTTGTTTGCTTTTGCACCCGCGCATTGCAAACGACATTTTAAAAACGCTGCACTCAACTTAAAAGAAGTCCAACATGCATCTTTACCTTGTGTTGTTATTACCATTGACATCATCGGTCATTACCCATTCCACTGAAACAGAAGCATCCTTTATGAACAGCCGTTAGCACTAGTGATGTATTCAGGTTAATCGCCTCAGCACCTTCACACGGATGAAGCACCATATCAGGCATTTCCCTAAACAGCCAGGTCAGATTTTCCGTCAAAGTAAAGAGCTAATTAATACGCTAATTAATTACGAAAACGATTATTTATTTTTGGTAATTGATATTTATTTCAGTCAGTTTTTCAGTAACTGTTGTTAGATTCGTTTAGTTTTATTTATTCATTAATCATGAAATTTTTAATTTATTTCAATTTACAAAAATGTTTTTTGACCTATAGTTTTAGTCTTCAGTTTTCGTTTACGAAAATAACCTTGGTCTGGTTTCTCACAAGGGTTTTATGTCACTGATGAAGTTTCAGTTCCTGTTGCTTATTTGGAGACATTTAATGTAATATTCAACAATATTGTTGATTTCCTGCACTTACAGCATTGTATAAGAACTGAACTGAGCTGGACGATGACATCACGGTTTTCTCCAGAGCCGCTATATATATATAAATGAACCAAATTATTATCTTTTTAACAGCAGAAATGAAGCATCACTGAACTGACTTAAGCTGGACTGTTACGCTATTCTCTTCTGGAAATAATCTCTGTTGCATTATTGTCCTGTTATCTCTGTAAAGCACTGTGTAAATGAAGCTGACTGGACTCTTTCTTTCTCCAGTCTGGATTACGGTAAAAAGCGAGGGAACACTAAAGAAGAGAAGGAGCGCGAGCGGCTCAAGCACAAACACAAGCGTGAGTTTAAGGGAGCGCTGAGGGAGATCCGCAAGGACACGCGGTTCCTGGCTCGGGAGAAGCTCAACGACATCATGAGCAGGTGAGCGGCATGTGATGTGTCGTGTAGATGTGATGTCGCTTGGTGTGTCTTGATTGTCATGTAATGTCACGTGATGTGTCGATGTTGATGTATCATGTAATTTGCAGTCACGTGATGTCGTGCGATGTTGATGTGATTGTCGCGATGTATCGTGATTTACGTCTGTGTCACGTGATGCCATCATGTGATGTTCATGTATCGTGATTGTGATGTATCATGTGATTGACATCTGTGTCACGTGATCTGTCATGTAATGTGTCATGTGATGTTGATGTGTTGTGATTGTGACGACTCTATCGTGCCAGTCTCTGATGGTGGTGTTGTGTTTGTGCGTCAGGGATTCGGAGAGGAAGAGGAAGGTGAAGGAGCTCTTTGGCAGTCTGGCCAATCAGGAGGGAGAATGGAAGGCCCTCAAGAGGAAGAAGATGAAGTGATGCTTTAACACGTCCTTTCTGCAATGAACTGCTTTAGTATGCTGATAAACTGCATTTATTCTCAAGTGGAGATTTTGTATGTGACATTATGAGAAATAAAAGGAAACTGTGCAGTGAGACTCTTTGTTTATGTGGGATAATCCAGGTTGGATGTCACCTGTCACATTCTTGTCATTGGGAATCAGCTCTTTTCCCAATGACATATTTTAATAATCATCATTTAGAAGCTTAAACTCTCCTGGAGTGGAGTTGATTTTCCTATGCCCCTTTTCTACCAAAGCATTTTGAGAGCCAGTTTGGAGCCGGTGCCTACTCGCGAACCAGTTATTTGTGTTTCGACAGCCAAAAAAAAAAAAAAAAAACGGTTCTCGGCCAGGAAAATTGGTTCCAAAGTGGCACCAACTATTTGCTGGACTGGAACCTGAGAACCGTTCTTTTACCATTTCACCCTTACGTTGCGCAATTTTATATATATATATATATATATATATACATACATGCATACTATTATTTAAATTACCAAAATTTATCATGAGATGCTCCAGTTCATGTGCAATGCAATCGCACCCATCATATTGTCTCATATTGTCTGCTATATTTGCTTCTTATTTATTATATCCAGGGAATTGGTTGATAAAAAATGTATTAAAATTAAGATACAATTTATACAAAACGAAATTCACTTTAAAGAAAGGCTTTTTACAAAACAAAACTTAATTTAGTGGTCAAAATCATGTGTGACCTATTAAATCTTCTGATATATTGGGCATCTTACTCATGCTGTTCAATTTTCATAATCAGCATAGATGTTAAAATATTTAAATGTATTTTTTATTTCTTTATTTTTTTACCAAAATGAAATTAAATGCGCTTATTTAATGGCTACTGCACTCTAAAAAACGATTCGTTGGCTGAACAACCATTACTTATAAAAGTAATTGGATCAAACATAAAAAATTAATTATTCATAACGTTTACTTAACATATATAGTGTGTGTAACACAAAAATATAAGTTACTAGGTGCACTTAAATGTATGTATAAATAAAATGAAAAATACATAGGCCTAAGGCATGTCAACTTGAGTCAAAATTAAGTAAATCTAGCATATCATTTTAAGTAACTATATTAGCCACGTGATATGCAATTTCCCGTGATGCCTATCCAGACAAAAATTTTAAGCCATTTTATTTCACAGCACATGTGAAGACGTTGAGAAGAGGTAAGCTTATTTTTTGTACTTAGGCCTACACATGATCATTGCATTTTTGGTCAAGAAATTTACTTTTAACTGAATTTCAGAATTGCTACAAATTTTGCATCAACAATTAGAAACGTGTTACTTACGAATGTAAACGTTTGTAGTCTACATGTTAATGAATGAAATAAGTGTTTTGCACGCGAGTATTTGAAGAGTATATTGTGTTTTTTCAAAATATATGACCATGATGTTGGCTTAATGCATTAATGGTGTGTTCACACAGAACGTGAATTTAATTATTTGCGATAGCAGATTACATTCATAGTCAATGCAAAGACGCGAAGACGCATCATTCGCGCCGGGCGTCGCGAATTGGGTGACTCGTTTGCCGCGAAAGTCTTCCTCGGTAGAAAAATTTGAACTTGAGCGGGCTGCGGAAGATTCAAGCATCTAACTAGACGCGACGTGTTTGACGCGTTCGGTTACCAATTCGGACGGCGCTTTCTCCCCCACGGATAGCCTAGATTATAGGCCTACTTCCCAGCCAACATTTGTATGTGGGGCCCATATGGGTATGAAATGGGCTGAAAAATGGGCCCCATGTAGGATTGTCCGCGGGTTACATAATGGCCCCATGTTAATTGCCCAGATAAATTTCATGTAGGATTGCACTTGGTACTACGCTGGACCCAAGTGGGCAACATGCACAAGACCCATCTCGGTCCCAGCTTTAACCCAGCCGATATTTATATGTGGGGACCATGTGGGTTTGAAATGGGCTGAAAAATGGGCTTTGATTGGGTTTGTCCGCGGGTTACATAATGGCCCCATGTTAATTGCCCAGATGAATTTCATGTAGGATTGCACTTGGTACTAGGCCGGACCCAAGTGGGCAACATGCACAAGACCCATCTCGGTCCCAGCTTTAACCCAGCGATATTTATATGTGGGCCCCATGTGGGTTTGAAATGGGCTGAAAAATGGGCTTTGATTGGGATTGTCCGCGGGTTACATAATGGCCCCATGTTAATTGCCCAGATGAATTTCATGTAGGATTGCACTTGGTACTAGGCCGGACCCAAGTGGGCAACATGCACAAGACCCATCTCGGTCCCAGCTTTAACCCAGCCGATATTTATATGTGGGGCCCATGTGGGTTTGAAATGGGCTGAAAAATGGGCTTTGATTGGGATTGTCCGCGGGTTACATAATGGCCCCATGTTAATTGCCCAGATGAATTTCATGTTGGATTGCACTTGGTACTAGGCCGGACCCAAGTGGGCAACATGCACAAGACCCATCTCGGTCCCAGCTTTAACCCAGCCGATATTTATATGTGGGGCCATGTGGGTTTGAAATGGGCTGAAAAATGGGCTTTGATTGGGATTGTCCGCGGGTTACATAATGGCCCCATGTTAATTGCCCAGATGAATTTCATGTAGGATTGCACTTGGTACTAGGCCGGACCCAAGTGGGCAACATGCACAAGACCCATCTCGGTCCCAGCTTTAACCCAGCCGATATTTATATGTGGGGCCCATGTGGGTTTGAAATGGGCTGAAAAATGGGCTTTGATTGGGATCGTCCACGGGTTACATAATGGCCCCATGTTAATTGCCCAGATGAATTTCATGTAGGATTGCACTTGGTACTAGGCCGGACCCAAGTGGGCAACATGCACAAGACCCATCTCGGTCCCAGCTTTAACCCAGCCGATATTTATATGTGGGGCCCATGTGGGTTTGAAATGGGCTAAAAAATGGGCTTTGATTGGGATTGTCCACGGGTTACATAATGGCCCTATGTAAATTGCCCAGATGAATTTTATGTAGGATTACACTTGGTACTAGGCCGGACCCAAGTGGGCAACATGCACAAGACCCATCTCGGGCCCAGCTTTAACCCAGCCGACATTTGTATGTGGGTCCCATGTGGCTTTGAAATGAAAAGTGGGCTCTGTATGGGATTGTCCGTGGGTTCCATAATGGTGCCATGTAAATCGCCCAGGTGGGTTTCATGTAGGATCGCACTTATAAACAGGTGGGCCCCAACTGGGCCACATGCACAAGACCTATCTTGGTCCCAGCTTTAGTTTTTGTGGGTACTACAAGGTTACTATATGGGCTGAAATATGGGCTTTAAGTGGGTTTGTCCATAGGTTCCATGCTGGCCCCAGCAACTTCCAGCAAAAGCTGGAATTCAGGATACAGGATTTCACAGGGCTTTAGGTGGGGCCCAACTAGGAATCATTTGCATGTGGCCCAATTAGGGATCATCTGGGCTCCATCTAAATGAGTAGCAACACCACACAAACAAGTTTTAAAGCATTAGAGCACACAGTGATATTGAAATATTTTCAATTTTATTAAAATTACTCATCATCATATTATGCTATATTCTGAAATTCCAGGGACAATATTTAAAGAAGCAGATTTATGTCAGATTAAAGAGTATCTATTTAATACCTATTTGTTAAAATACATATTTTGAACCTGTATTTGACCCAGTCTTTACTGAACATTTGAACAGGATATAAATTGGTGACAGTTAGAAGAAGCAGCAACTATACAGTACATTTATCAGTACAGCTTACACTGCAGACAGTCATTTGCGCATCTAGACACTCTCCTCCTCCATCTCTTGTCCTGGACTATTTTGAGAGTTCCCTCTCAGTTCCTTGCCAGTTGATCTGTGTTGTCTTCTTAAGAGCCTCTGCAAAACATTTTTTTTTTTTTTTAGGGATTTTGATTTTAGAAAAATCATGTTACTTACACGTCACAATACCTTATGACAGAATAACAATTTCTACTCAGGATAAAAAAAAAACAGCAAAAAAATTATATAGGAATGGTGACGGTTTTGGAATGTCACTGGAAGGGCATTTAGGAAATCAATAAAAAAACAGTTTATAAAGTATGCATAATAAGTATAATGATTGATATACTTTTAAAGTAAAATTAGGAATGCTCTGATCAATCGGCCAGATATTAGGGTTAGGTTAACTAAGTAAGTAAGTAAAAGTTTATTTATATAGCACCTTTCACAGGTACAAGGCAACAAAGTGCCTTACAACAAAAACATTAATATCAAAAATACACACAATAAAAGCATAGACAGTACATGACCATATCATGTAACACAGGTACCTAATTAAAAGCCTGAACAAATAAATAAGACTTTAGTCTGCATTTGAAGGCATCAACAGAGTCAAAAGAGCGCATATACAGTGGGAGGGGGTTATTAAACGCCTTCTGAAGCAAAGCCATGAGTTTGTGTAAGAAAAATATTCGGTAACGCTTTAGATTACAGCCCGGAATGTACTATGTAATTAAGAGGAATTTACAGTGTAACTTTCTGCAATTATAGTGTACCTATAAAGGACTTGCATGTAAGTATATGGGTAAAGTTTTGGGAATAATGGGGTAACAACCAGGAGAATTAAAAATATATATTAATACTGTAAGTATTATAGAAATAAGGGTTACTTATTCTACTATTATGATACAACAGTCTTACATTTGGGAGCAATTTAGCGAGTACATACACTGCAAACCTTTTTGTAAAAATTGTGTATCAATACTGTATAGGCTTTTTTTAAAGGACAGGGTACATATATAGGCATTTATACAATTCTTTAATATTTTTAAAAAAAATATAGCAAAAGTGCAGATGTTTAAGTTTTGGCTAACATGTTTCAAGGCAAGAAAAGCTAAGACTATTGCAATTTTTTTTAAATACTGGGACATATATTTTGTTATGTGGCAGGGTATGGTGGTGTATATAATAATAAAGGTTTCCAAGTCAGTGATATAAAACTGTGTATGTATTTTTATTGTACTTACCCTGTAACTACATGGAACAAGGGTAACAAGCACCACCACATGAAACAAGTGTATCTTTCCCCAATATTTAAGCAAAA